AAAATGATTCTTCGTGGGGGTTGTATTCCAGGGACCTGCCCAAAACGCTACGCATACTAGTGGCTGTACAAGAATGTAACAACTCTTGTATATATCTCAAAAAAAAAAAAAAAAAATCATCAATGAGTTATTAAGTATCAAGAGGACAATAATATTTTTGTTAACAATAAATCCTACCTTACAAACCTGCTCACATTTTTGGAAAGAGTAACCACCAACTCAAAGGCCTTGCGGTGGCTATAGTATACCGGCACCTCAATTTTGCTAAAGCCTTTGATAAGGTACCACATGAAAGACTGGCAAGGAAATTACAGGCCCATGGAATAAATGGTAAAATACCAGAATGGATAAAATAATGGTTGAAATAAAGAAAACAGTCATGCTAATGGGAATGAATCTGAATAGAGAAATGTGATAAGTGGAGGTACCCCAAGGGTCCATTTTAGAGCCTACCCTGTGACACAAAGATTTATGGTAAAGTAGGAAATGATAATCACAGTCTAACAAAGAGATCTACATGAACTCCACAAATGGTCAGAAGACTGGCAAATGCTTTTTAATATCGACAAATCACCTTATATATATGGGGCATAGCAGCCCATGCCACAACTACCAAATTGTGGTATGTAATACATTACATTACAGTAGATTGAAGAAGAAAAGGACCTTGGAGTCACAATCCACCACTCACTCAAAGTTGCACAACAGGTAGGAGCCAAAGTCAGTAAAGGTAACCGAAGCCTTTGAATAACCAAGCGTACCTTTGACATTATGGAAAAGACGGTAGTGATTCAATTGTATAAATCTCCGGTGTGCCCCTATTTGGATTAATGTATCTAAGCATGGAGACCTCTTTTTCAGAAAGACATTGATGCTCTGAAGAAAGTGAAACACCGGGCAACAAAAGTCAATCCAGAGGCAAGTCATCTCTCGTATCAGGAAAGGTTGAGGGCCATAGGGCCTACAACACTGCAAACCAGGCATGACAAAGCAGATCTCATTCAAGTTTTTAAAATAATGAACAATTTGGAGGATGTTGATCCGGACAATTTCTTCAAAAGGTCATATTTAACACAAACAAGGAGCAATGGTTTGAAGCTCAACAAGCCACAATGTAGGACAGAGAACAGGAGATGCTTTTTCACCCACACATGGTACCGCTAACAGCATGTTGCCTGTCAGCAACAGGCAGTTGCCGACAGCTAACCACCACCAGAGAAATATTAACAAGCAACACAGAAATAATCGACAGGTGTAACGACAACTAAAGACTCGACATCAGCGAGGACGTACACATCAAAAAGTCAAAACCAGCAATCAACAGCCTGTTAACACAATTACATTCTACTCACTCCAAGACCCTATACCAACATACGAGACATATATATATATATATATTATATATATATATATATATATATATATATATATATATATATATATATATATATATATATATATATATATATATATATATATATATATATATATATATATATATATATATATATATATATATATATATATATATATAATATATATATATATATATATATATATATATATATATATATATATATATATATATATATATATATATATTATATATATATATATATATAATTACAATTATCATAAATATATATGTAGTATATATAATTACATTACATATACTGTATATACAGTGATTATGAACAGTATAACAAGTGAAAAGATATACAGTATAACTTCAATGTATTTAAAATAAGTCATAACTCCATCATAATTAGGGTTAGAGAGAGATTATTCAGCACAGTTCATTGGTGGGTGGGTGGGGGTGTGGGGGTGTGTGAGTGTAATTACCTAAGTGTAGTTACAGGATGAGAGCTACGCTCGTAGTGTCCCGTCTTCCCAGCACTCGTCATATAACACTTTGAAACTACTGACGGTCTTGGCCTCCACCACCTTCTTACCTAACTTGTTCCAACCGTCTACCACTTTGTTTGCGAAAGTGAATTTTCTTATATTTCTTCGGCATCTGTGTTTAGCTAGTTTAAATCTATGACCTCTTGTTCTTAAAGTTCCAGGTCTCAGGAAATCATCCCTGTCGATTTTATCAGTTCCTGTTACTATTTTGTACATAGTGATCATATCACCTTTTTTTTCTTCTGTCTTCTAGTTTTGGCATATTTAATGACCAACCTCTCCTCGTAGCTCTTGCCCTTCAGTTCTGGGAGCCACTTAGTAGCATGTCTTTGCACCTTTTCCAGTTTGTTGATGTGCTGCTTAAGATATGGGCACCACACAACCGCTCCATATTCTAGCTTTGGCCTAACAAAAGTCATGAACAATTTCTTTAGTATATCGCCATCCATGTATTTAAAAGCAATTCTGAAGTTAGAAAGCATAGCATAGGTTCCTTGCACAATATTCTTTATGTGGTCCTCAGGTGATAGTTTTCTATCTAAAACCACCCCTAGATCTCTTTCTTTATCAGAATTCTTTAAAGATTTCTCACATAATATATAGGTTGCGTGGGGTCTATGTTCTCCTATTCCACATTCCATAACATGGCATTTATTAACATTAAATTCTACTTGCCAAGTGGTGCTCCATATACAGTACTTATTTTGTCCAGGTCTTTTTTGAAGGGCATAACAATCATCTAGGTTTCTTATCTTCCCTATTATCTTGGCATCATCAGCAAACATGTTCATATAATTCTGTATACCAACTGGTCGATCATTTATGTAGACAATAAACATCACTGGTGCAAGAACTGAACCCTGTGGTACTCCACTTGTGACATTTCTCCAGTCCGATACATTGCCTCTGATTACTGCCCTCATTTTTCAATCAGTCAGAAAATTTTTCATTCATGTTAGAAGCTTACCTGTCATCCCTCCAATATTTTCCAGTTTCCAGAACAACCATTTATGTGGAACTCTGTCGAAAACCTTTTTTAGGTTCAGATAGATGCAGTCAACCCAACAATCTCTTTCCTGTAATATCTCTGTGGCTAGATCATAGAAACTGAGTAAATTCGATACACAGGATATTCCAGACCGAAAACCATACTGTCTGCCTGATATTATATCATTCCTCTCCAGGTGTTCTACCCATTTAGTTTTGATTAGTTTTTCCAATACTTTCACTATTATACTTGTTAATGATACAGGTCTATAATTGAGGGGGTCTTCCCTGCTGCCACTTTTGTAGATTGGAACCACGTTAGCTTGTTTCCACACGTCTGCTACGATTCCTGTACACAGGGATGCCTGAAATATCAGGTGAAATGGAATGCTGAGCTCAGATGCACATTCTCTCAGAACCCATGGTGAAACTCCATCTGGGCCAGCTGCTTTGTTCTTACTGATACTCCTTTAGCATATTTTCCACTTCATCTCTAGACACCTCTATCCGCTCTATGTTGTTCTCTGGAATTCTTATTGTGTCTGGTTCTCTGAAGATTTCATTTTGTACAAACACACTTTGGAACTTTTCATTTAATGTTTCACACATTTCCTTTTCATTTTCCGTGAATCTGTTTCCCATTTTCAACCTCTGGATATTATCCTTTACCTGCAATTTGTTGTTTATGAATTTGTAGAATAGGCACGGTTCTGTTTTACATTTATCCGCTATCCCTTTTTCAAAATTTCTTTCAGCCTCTCTCCTTGCTGCCGTATAATTGTTTCTCGCATCTTTGTATCGCTGGTATGTTTGGGGGTTTGGCCTCTTCCTATACTGATACCATTTTTGTATCTTTTGGTCTCTGTCCCTCTCACAATTTCTGTCGAATCAATCCTGTTTTCTGGCCCTGTATCTCTTGTGTATGTGTATGTATGTATATATGTGCATATACATGTAAATATATAAATATATAAATATATATATATATATATATATATATATATATATATATATATATATATATATATATATATATATATATATATATATATATATATATATATATATATATATATATATATATATATATATATATATATATATATATATATATATATATATATGTCGTACCTAGTAGCCAGAATGCACTTCTCAGCCTACTATGCAAGGCCCGATTTGCCTAATAAGCCAAGTTTTCATGAATTAATTGTTTTTCGACTACCTAACCTACCTAACCTAACCTAGCTTTTTTGGCTACCTAACCTAACCTATAAAGATAGGTTAGGTTAGGTTAGGTAGGGTTGGTTAGGTTCGGTCATATATCTACGTTAATTTTAACTAAAATAACAAAAAATTGACCTCATACATAATGAAATGGGTAGCTTTATCATTTCATAAGACAAAAATTTGAGAAAATATATTAATTCAGGAAAACTTGGCTTATTAGGCAAATCGGGCCTTGCATAGTAGGCCGAGAAGTGCGTTCTGGCTACTAGGTACGACATATATATATATATATATATATATATTTATATATATATATATATATTACATATATATATATATATATATATATATATATATATATATATATATATATATATATATATATATATATATATATATATATATATATATATATATATATATGTCGTACCTAGTAGCCAGAATGCACTTCTCGGCCTACTATGCAAGGCCCGATATGCCAAATAAGCGAAGTTTTCATGAATTAATTGTTTTTCGACTACCTAACCTACCTAACCTAACTTTTTCGGCTACCTAACCTAACTTTTTCGGCTACCTAACCTAACCTATCTTTATAGGTAGGGTTGGTTAGGTTCGGTCATATATCTACGTTAATTTTAACTCCAATAAAAAAAAATTGACCTCATACATAATGAAATGAGTAGCTTTATCATTTCATAAGAAAAAAATTAGAGAAAATATATTAATTCAGGAAAACTTGGCTTATTAGGCAAATCGGGCCTTGCATAGTAGGCTGAGAAGTGCGTTCTGGCTACTAGGTACGACATATATATATATTTGATTAATTTTCTGTCCATACTAAGTACCCACCTTAATTAGCCAATAAATTAATCATGCCTAACCTTTACATTTTCTTCTTGTAACTTTATGTATATCTCTTTGAATAATTTGTTGGCTTGTCGACGTCCAGGAGGGAGGCCCAAATCTCTCTGAGGCAGTGGTGTCGCTCTGTCAATCTGCACTTCTGACACTAGCTCAGCAAATTTCATTACAGTCTGAAAATAGTATCGCACAATTTTAAGTCGCCTCGGAAAACCGAGTCATATATAGATGTTATTTCAAAACTTAGTTCCCCCTCATATTGTATGTAGTATGCAGTACAAAATTTATTCAGAAAAAGTTGGTAATAGGAGCAGTGACGGAGATGTCTCTTGGCATTCTGCCTACAATCTGCTCTCCTTGCAGTCCTACTCGTAGGTTATTATTAATAAAGTATTTTTTATAGTAACTTTGGCCTAAATGTCTAAATTTCAACTGCTACTCAAAATTTATTTAATGCAATTGATAAAATATAGTACCATTCAGTTTCAATGTCATGCATATACCACAATACAAAAGCAGTATTTTGAGTGATATGGGTACATGGTGGGTGGGGTTAGCATAAAGCTGGTGGTGGTGGTGGTGGTGGTAGGTATGTGGTGGGATGGGTATATGGTTAGCAATGGAAAATGGTTGTTTGTGCGAGTGCGTGTGACATGTGCAACACCACACACACACACTGATGCATGGTGTGGTGCTTACCTTTCAGTGACTGCAGGGAAATGAGATCTAGCACTTTATGCTCCACTTCCTAGCCATTAATACCCAATGCACTAACTACCTGTTTCATCATTGACTGTTTTCAAATTTTATTTTCCCCTAATGCATTCCACTTGCTGACCACCTGTACGGGGAACAAAAATTTTCTTACATCTCTTCTACTCGATTGCATGTCCAGCTTCCACTGTTAGACTCCCCCGTTCTACCTCTGTTTAATTTTAATAGTTATACTACGTCCACTTAGTCAATTCCCTTCAAAATCTTGTATGTAGTTATCAAATCCTCTGTTTCTTCTCTTCTCTAAGGTTGTGAGAGGATGTTCTATCAATCTGTCCTCATGGCTGAGGCCTCTCAATTCTGGTACCAATCTAGCTGCAAACCTCTAAACTTTCACAAGTTCCTGTTTATGATTCAAAAGGTGTTGGTTCCCATGCTGGTGCTGCATACTCAAGTAATGGTCTCACATAGGCACTGTGTACGGACGGGCTCAAAAGCCGCCTTGTTTAGAATCTTAAATGACGTTCTTAAGCTTGTTAACTTCCCATTTGCTGCTGATATTATCCTGTTCACATGAGCTTTTATAGTGTTAATGTTGGGATTATGTCTACTCCCAGGTCTTTTTGTCTTATTGTTTCTTGCAACAGCCTTCCCCTTACGGTAAAGGTGATTACACGTCTCCTCTCTCCCTTACCCAGTTTCATTACTTTACACTTATTTGGTTTGAATTCTAGAACCCATTTATCTGTCCACTGCTGACTTTTGTAAAGGTCTTCTTGCAGCACCTTACAGACCTCTTCAGCTTTTACTCTCCTCATTAACTTTGCATGTCTGCAAACATAGATACGGTATGTACAAGATCACTCCCTTTGTGAGCTCATTTACATAAATTAAAAAGAGCAATGATCCTAGGACAGAGACCTGTACAATACATAAACTTCACACAACCACCACATGTGATCAGACTTCAGGGACAGGGAGTAACACTTTTGGAGAATGACAAAAAACAATTGAACTCGACAAGAGGTTCCAGGAGGAATACAAACAGGATCCAGATTGATGTCTAAGCAGGGGGGTGACAACAGACAACCAGACAGAATTTAAGTTAAAGTAGTTAATGTAGAAGAGATAAAAAAAAAAAAACAGCATTGAACGTAATGAAACGCCAGTTTCTGGCCGAGCCCCCCCAGAGGCTTCTGGAGCTATAGGACTGATATTAGCAATATTAGTCTGGAGCTTCAGTCATATGGAGTTGTCATGCCTACCGGAAACCACGAGCCAGAACCTGGTTCCCTCAGTGAGGCGAAGGGAGCAATGACCTATGAAAACTCCACTCTTTGAGAGTGTATTCATGTCTGCTATCTACCATGGTTGGGCACCCAGAAAGATAGACGTCCCAAAACAGTCCCCAACTGGTAGAAAATTTCAACCGGAGACCAAAATAGAGGCTAAAAACCTCCATTAAGAAAAAAACAAAAAAACAATAAAACTAAGCAAATCGTCATCAACCTGATGTGCCGCTAGTTTGCCCCCCCTTCTGGAGGGGAAGAGGGGGGGCCCCACCCCAAGAGGGGGGCCCCGCCCCACTGAGCTGGCCCTCTACCAACCAGTTTGGAGACTGAGCAAACTGGGGGAAAAAAAAAAAGCCCAGAGGGAGGGAGGGTGCCAGGGAGCATCCAGGGCTTACCCAGAAAATGGCGCTTCATTACATTCAATGCTGGTTTTCTGAGGGGAGCCCCATCGGCTCCCTGGAGCTAGCAATCCAAAGTAGCCACTTATCTACTTACAGTATCTCGTTCCTGCCTACCTCACCCCCTCTGAGGGAGGAGGGGGGGAGGTAGGCGCGAATGAGTGGCTCTTGGTGCGATGATGTGTTGCTTGTTACCTTATTTTCCTTGGGGGAGTTTCTAGCCTCTGTTCAGTCTCGGGACGCAATTTTTCTATCAGTAGGGGTCAATGACCCAAAGTCCATTTCATGCACACGACAAACCCCATGTCTGAGTGAAAAACCATTTACACACGACTCTGAACAGATGACGTCTGAACACTTCCGAACAAGTGCTTCATTGACAACTTTTGTTCGAATTACAATGCTTCAACCCATGTACTACAATTTCAAATAATTGCCAACAGAACCTAAACACCTAACCTAACCAGTGACAAAACATGCACAATATGCTAATATATAATAATATTAATTTTTATTTGAGAAAAGTTCTGTTTTGAATTAACAATGATAAAATTGATGAATGCGTCTTTGGGGTTGACCGCTTGATAGCATGCACTTGGTCCGAGGACGGGTTGGTTTTGGAACATTTACCTTTCTGGATGTTCAAACCCGGTCGATGGCAGACATGAGTACTTTCATACATGAGTTTCACAGGTAGTTGCTCCATGCGCCTCCTTGAGGGGACCATGTTCTGGCTAGTGGTCCCTGGTAGGCATGACAACTCCATATTACTGAAGCTCTGTACTAACATTAGCTAATATCAGTCCAATAGCTCCAGTGAGCCAACAGGGCTTCCCACAGGAACGTTGCATTTTTTATTAAAACTCTTGGTCTTGGAATATGTAGCATTTTTCCCAGAGGATCATAAATAAATAACCTGTGTGTTATGAACTAATACAGGGTAATGAGAAATACCAATGTAAAATTGGGAGTGCCCTGAACTAGACAATTACCATCTAAACATTAATACTGTACTCCTCAATCTACCAAATCTCCAGAAACCAACTTTCTTTTGCAAAATGTATTTTCACTTATTGTATTAATTACCTAAACACATACCTGATTTTCATCATAGTCACTGGCACTGGGGTTAACACACACAACCATCTTTATCTTTCCCTCCCCGTCAAAATAATTCTTGAGGTAATGGGTCAACTTGCAGTCACGATACGGTACCATCCTGCATTCATCACCAGCCTGGTTTTCCCTCAAGGCTTCTACACATGCTCGCAGAGTCATTAGAGAGTTGTTTATAGTTCCTGTAACAGATAAAACAAGGAAGTTAAGCTTTTGTGAAAACTTCTTATCCCAAGTTGGATGATTTGGCTGCTCAATCAAACAAGATTTACCTATGCCCTTGGACAGGCAACATACAGCATGGTGCCACAAGAAATTTTTAAGCATCCCTGTAGGGTCATATTGTATTGAGGGAGGTAACTACAGAAAGGAACAATCCAACCTAGAAATGACTTGTCAGAAGTCTTTCCACAAAAAGAAAAAAAAAAAATTAAGTTCTTAAAAATTAACACTTTCGCGCACCCCCCGCGCCACCCCTCGACAGGGCGATATGGGCCCCAGCGTGTCACGGAAGCGCGCGTCAATTCCGAAAAGTGTATACTCTCTTCAACTTTGTCACCTCAATTTTCGTTCTACGAGATTAAATTTGGTATCATTGTGTTCGCAATAAAATTCTCTACAGCACTAAATGCATATAAACTCCAAAAGCCCGGCTAATTACCCGCAGCAAGCAGAGAAAAAGCGAACGAGTTACCCGGGAGCGCGCAAACGCGATAAAATGTTTTCACTATTTTCACTCTGGTCACCTCAATTTTCGTCCTAGGTCTTTCATTTTGGTCTCAATGGGTTCGTAATTGAATTATCTAGAGGAATATTAGCATATAAAATAAAAAACCTGGTCACGCTCCAACCGCCGACGAGTTGAAGACGGGCCACGCGTTAGCCGTGAGTGAGCGCCCAGACGCCTTCCCGCTACACTCCCAATTCCCGCCCACATATGTTTAGTATTATTTCCTGGTGGTAATCTCAATTTTCATGTTACAGCTCTCATTTAGGTGTGAAAATGTTCCTAATAGAATTCTTCAGATGGATATGTGCATATAAGGGCCAATTGAAGAACAACATTGCCTGTACAATACGGGAAACGGGCAAATACCCATCAAGATCGTCAGTCCCATATATCTAGCAATTTCCTTCACTGTCACTGGTTGCCATCTGTGCTTTGTACTTTGCCCAGTACCTGCCTTATTTTGGGAAGCATATAAATTTGTTTCATAGGCAATATATTTCAGCAATTTTTGTGTCAGAAAGAGTTGAATGAATCCAAGAACAGTGGTAGGTACAGGAACAGTCAAGCCTGGTGTACCTGTAAAATTGTCCACAAAGGGTGCAGTATTGTCACTACACCATCCATCATCAGAATCTGTTGGTGCTGGGTACGTGTGGTACGTCTGGTACGTCTGGCTCTAGCACGAGCTCCAGTACCACGCCGTGCACGAGTGGCAATCTCGACCTCAGACTCCTCACTGCCCTCACTTTCATCACTATCAAAATCCTCATCGGCCGTCTCTGTTTCTAAATGTTCACTACTTGCATCAGTATCAATACCAACATCAGTTTCATCACTAGATGACCCAGACAAATCGTCAAATACAGCCTGAAACTTAGAGGGAGTTAGTCTCACATGCTTGTACTTCTCCTGTACACTACTCAGCTTCTGCTTTTCACGCCTTTCTTTCGCAATTTTCTTCCTGGAAGGGCCTTGTTCATAATCACTATCCATCGTGGAGTAATCGTAGATAGTTTCTGAAGCCGCAGCAAGAAATATAGCCACGGAAAATAGCTGAAATGTTCACACGTTTGAGACGCGAGGGGAGGCAACACCGGTCACAACAGTGGAGCAAAAACAATGGGCCGACGGCGTGTGCCGCGCCGCCTGCGGGCCACTAGGCACAACAAAGAAAATGGGAAGACATCGGCGCGCATTTTAAAATTAGTCCCAAAAAAATCGGATAAAAACCCGATTTTTGGCGAATTTTTAAAGTGGATGACGCAATGCTGCGTCATCCCCGGCATTACCGCCAGTAAATGGATGACGCAATGCTGCGTCATTCCCGAGCGAAAGTGTTAAGGGGGCGTTTGGTTCCAAAAATGCAATAAATGAAAACTCGTTCGATCTCAATCAAACTTTTTTGACAAGTTCTATATGAAAAGTGTTTCATCTGGTCCAAGTTTCAGCATCGTAGCATAAATAGGAAGGGAGAAAAAAAATATTGTAGTAGTTGTGAAAATTATGCAAAAATGATCAAAATCGATTATCAATCAAAAGTGTCAACTGAAATCATAGCTATGACTCTTTGCTATCACAATAGCATATATTAAACAAATATTATAATTAGTTTAATTGAAAAAACAATAAGAAAAAAAAAAAGTTTTTTTTTTCTTTTTTCTTTTTCTTTTTTTGTTTGATTTGCATCAAACTTACACACCTGACTGTACGTAAGCCTATCTGTAAGGATGCCAATTTTGGAGAAAATTGGTTGATGTCAACCTCAGCCACAGATTTTAGAACCTTAGACTTTATTCATTTCTGTTTTATTTTCAATTGACACAAACGTTTACAAAACTGATTCATTTTTTATTCAATTTACATGAAACTTACACAGTATATGTGGAGGGCATGTCTCTACATTGGAGAGTTTTAATTTTTCTCTAAGTTCATTTATTGATTTTATAATAGCAATAAACATGCCATATTTGCAAAAAAAATTTTGGGAACTTTGAACATTTGTATGAGGAAAACTAAAGATGTTTTGGAAATTCTATAAATCAAAGTCCTTTATTATATGGTAATGTGTCAGAAAAGTGTCACAGAATAATTATATCTGAAACGTGTGCTCTGAAGTGTGGACTTGAAAATGTGTAAAAAAACGTTGAGGGGGGAAAAAAAAAAAAAAATCTCCCTTTCTATTTATGCTGCAGTACTGAAACTTGGGACAATTTCAGCACTTTTCATATACAACTAGTCAAATAATATTAGTTGACATTGAACAACTTTGACCTGACAAGATTAACGCCCCCTTAAAAACATGTCTCCTCTCGACCAACACTGCCACGCCTCTGACAATGCGTCGGTTCCCAGGGCTGCGTCCTACCACAATATCAACTAAACATCCACATAAACTATTGTGGAAATTCTACTAACAAAATGTAGTACTAATATTCAAATCATTATTAATCTTAAGAGTATATAATATTGTTGCATTGCTCAATATAATTTACTGGCAAACAATAATAAGAATTAATCAAGGTTGGACTATAACCACTCACATGACATCAAGTTCCCACACTGGCCACATCCAAATATGGTCATCCCCCCACACAAGAAACCAACAGGAATTAACTTGCAAAAGCCTCATACAAAATAATGCAACTCAGGCACACTACAGCATGCTACAATATATAACATACAATAGTCTATAATCATACAACTGGATACTATACTAATTATAGAACAAGACAATAAAGTATATAAGCATCAAGAGTAATGTTAGAATCCTTGTAAGATTCGTAACACTGCCCTAAAACATCATAGGTTCCAAGGTTCAAGGTTCCTTGACAAGGTTCCTCTCATCCAGTGGAGGAAGGAGCAGACCCCTGCAGACTTGATCTCTGTACACCTTTGATGAAAGGAGTAGGTGTAGCAACCAGTCTCTATCCATACTACTATTTACCTGAGGGACGCTAACACTAGTGGTCTTGACATTGTTGTTGCCAGCAGTGAACATGGTGTGCCTTCTGGTCCCAGTTGATGGGAGTGATCAAGTAATGTAGTCAATAGTTAATGAGAGCCCTTGTTTGCCAGTAACCTGAGTTCACACGTGAGGACTTGGAAGGATTTTTTTTTTTTTAGAAACAACTGATGATCATTATGGTAGAAACACAGCAGACTAGTGGCTTCAATAAATATGCACCTTTATGTAACAAATAAGCAACCACTATATCATGTTCTGCATATTTTTAAATTAAAATCATTAATCATTATTGTTTCTGGGCTTAAATGATTAATTTTCCATTGACTTCCTTAGAACAATATAACCCTGCAGGGATTCTTAAATATTCTACTTGGTACCATGTTGTATGTTACCCCGACTGACTGCATGATCTATGTCTTAGGAAAGTGAGATTGACCTAGATGGAGCACCCAAATGTACAACTTCTTACAAAATAAGAATAATTTCAACAATTTTAAAACTGGAAAATAAGAAAAAAAGAGTTAGCAACAAAATCACCTGCAAAATAAAGAAACTAATGTCAACGTGCAAAGAGCTTAACATGTGTACAAAAGCACATATAGCACACATTGTGAGAAATCTACTGGTGATTAATTTATTTCAATTCTTCATTAATTTAAAGCAGACTGTATTTAAATTTATTGTATTACTTATTTATAATTTCTAAGTGGACTATGTTTGATTTAATATCACCAGTAAATTCCTTCACATAAACCTGGGAGGGTTATATATTCAGTTAACCACACCATAATTAAACGGTTGATTAAATTTAAGTAATTTCACTGAAGCTAAACTGTTAGTATTCAGTACATTGATTAGTGCTTATAATAATGCCATCAGCCTTATCTGACTAGATGACTTCAGAGCTCATAGGAGCAAGGTGTGGTACATGTGAGCCGAGTATGCTGCAATAATGGCGTGCAGAGATCCTTTACTGCTAGAATCCACTCAGTAAAACATCTAAACTACTGGGACCGACTAAAGAGCCTAAATCTGTACTCCCTTGAGCGCAGGTGGGAGAGGTCCCTTACTACACATAAGGGGCATAACTGGCCGACCCCATGCAGTGTTCAAGAGAGAACTGGATAAGCACCTCCAAAGGATACCTGATCAACCAGGCTGTGACTCATACGTCAGGCTGCGAGCAGCCGCGTCCAACAGCCTGGTTGATCAGTCCGGCAACCAGGAGGCCTGGTCGACGACCGGGCCACGGGGACGCTAAGCCCCGGAAGCACCTCAAGGTAACCTCAAGGAGGTACATAATAATTTACACGTGGAAAATATTAGAGGGGCTGGTCCCAAACCTGCACACAGAAATAACATCACATGAGACCAGAAGACATGGCAGGATGTGCAGAATACCCCCGTCAAAAAGCAGAGGTGCAACAGGTACTCTGAGAACTCTATCAACATCAGAGGCCCGAGACTGTTCAACACGCTTCCACTAC